TTATACTAAACAAGGACCCAACTATGAATATCAATAGAATATTAAGTGTCATGCTGAAGGAGATGCATAGGAATCGGGAAATTGACACATGGACAAGAAATCCAATTATAAGAAAGGATGCACGACCACTAACAGCATGCGCATTACCAAAGATACACAAAGAGGGCGAGTCACTAAGGCTGGTAGTTAACAAAAAGTATGGAGCAACACAGAAATAAGCAAAGTTTATATGTTTGAATCTCAAGAAATTAAATGAGAGTCTATCAAACACGGTGAAACATTCATATTAATTTTCTCAAAAAATCAGAAACATGGCACTGGAAGAAACAGACTTATTATTAGTTTCGATGTGGGATCCATGTATACAAATATATGTGGAGAAAATGCGCAAACGGCCAGGCTGGAAATCCTGGACAGAGAGGAGGATATCCTGGAATCACAACAGATCGATAGGGCGTCGTTAACAAGACTAATCTACTTCACAATACGGGCAACCTATTTCACATTCAACGGAAACATCTCTGAATAAATATTTGAACTTTTCATGGAATCGGCGCTATCACCACTTTGGTGAATTCATATATGAACAAAATAGAATAGAACTTCAAGATGGCACAGCTACAACCGGCAGTGCTTATACGCTATCTAGATAATTATTTCGCACTTTGATCACATGGAAGAGAAAAACTCGACAAGTTTTTGAAGTTTGTAAACTAGATTGATGAAAAAATTCAATTCACGATAGAATTAGAGAAGGGTTTTTGGATGTTGAAGTGATTTGATCTAATGGGATGCTTAAAAAAAAATGGTTCAAAAAAAGTCCTATGGTGGGATAACACTCAATTTCCGGTCACATCACAATTACAGGTTTAAGATAGGAATAATGAGGAGCATGATCATCCAAAGCCTACGCCTAACGCACGAGGAGCTGGACAAATTACTCGAAGTGATAGAAAGAAACATACGAGCCGTGAAAAGCCGATGGCAGAACGGGGAATATGAAAGAATAGTAAGGACGATCAAGGTTTCATAAAAGCGGATTTGCCTACCTTCCTGCGAACTAGCTCAGAAACTATGACCAATATTAAGTAAATGGAATATTCAGGTGGCCATGAAAAAGTAATCAACACTTTTCACAAGGGATTTTCGGCAATGAGTGATATCCGTTTTTGATAAACAAGTACAACTTTGAAGGCCTGACGGTGATGGAGTAGGCAGACGGATAAGCTATCCGTTACAAAGATTTGGCGTTAAGATCAAAATGTACTATAAATTTATTAGAGGGACCTTCATTTCGTATGAAAGTGCATGAAGAAGAGATTCGTTGGTCGATCTCACCAGATAAGGACGGATGAAACTAGTTGTACTGCAGCCGGTTGGATTGTATAGGATAATCATGTTGACGCAGTCCACGGGACTTCCTCCCTCGTTTCGGGGACCGTAATCAGCAAACCTACTAGTTTGAGACCATTCTATTTCATGTCCCGTTTCTACCATGTGTTCGGCC